GGCATGCGGCGGAGCCTCCGCCGGGGCCGCGCCGCGCTCCCGGTGTGTCGCCGCGTCCCGCCGACAAAGGGCGGCCCCACCGTGACAGCCCCCCCGCTCCGCTCCCCGTATCCTGGCGATGCTCTGCCTGGAGCAGTCCGGGGCACCGCGAACCTTCCGTGCAGCCGTGCTCGGTGCTCACCGGGGACATTTGGTGGCCTCCGGCGCATCCCGGTGCCGGTGCTCCTCTGCGGGAGCCGGGCGACACGCGTCTCCGTGTTAAATCCTGGAATAATTTGGGTTTGAAGTGATCTTAAGGCACCTCGTTCCAACCTCCTGCCATGCAGGGACACATTCCGCTAGACCAGGTTGCTCCGAGCCCTTGGACTTGCTCCAACGTGGCCTTGAACGCCTCCAGGGACGGGGCAGCCGCAGCTTCTCTGAGCAATCTGCGTAGTGCCCCATCAGCCTCGGCTCCGGGAGACTCCTGTCAGCCCGCATCTCGGGCTGGTCCGGGTCACTCTGGGTGGCAGCAGGACCCTCTGGACTATCAGCCACTGCTCTCCGTTTGGTGTCATGTCCCCAGGGCGCCCCGGGTCCGATCACGCAGGTCGTTAATGCAGACAGTGGCACAGGGCTGGCCCGGTATGTCCCGAGGTTGTCCCGGCAGTGACCGGACACGGCAGCTCGGCTGGAATCTGGGATCGGACGCGACTTCAAAAGGCTGTGCAATGGCAAGTCAGGATGGCCGAGCGGTCTAAGGCGCTGCGTTCAGGTCGCAGTCTCCCCTGGAGGCGTGGGTTCGAATCCCACTTCTGACAGCTACTTTTGCGCCGCCCGCGGGCTCTTTTAGCTGAGGACGGGGGGCGGGGGCGTGAATGAAAACAACCAAAAGCGACCAAAAGCGCGCAATTAATGTCAGTAAAAATCAATTAATTAACTGCAAGCCGGGCGTAGCGCAAAATACACGATCTGTCAGAAGTGGGATTCGAACCCACGCCTCCAGGGGAGACTGCGACCTGAACGCAGCGCCTTAGACCGCTCGGCCATCCTGACACCGCTGGGCGGCCACTGCGGCCCGTGGTTCACTTGAGGGCGTTGTGCAAGCGCGCCGTGAGCTCGGTCACGCCGTAGCTGCGACACCGCCCTGGGGCGCTTTTCCAAAGCCCGAGCACCCTCTGCGTGAAGAACTTTTTCCTAACATCCAGCCTAAACCTCTCCTGGCGCAGCTTCAGCCGCTCCCTCAGGTTCTATCACTGGTCACAGACAGCAGCGATCAGCATTACCCCTCGTGAGGAAGCTGCGCTGCCCCTCCTGAGGAAGCTGCAGCCCACAATGAGCTCTGCCCTCAGTATCCTTTTCCAGGCTGAACAAGCCACTCCTCACATGGATCCCTCTAGACTCTTCACCATCCTCACAGCCTCAGATAGTTCTTGTACTATGGTGCCCAAATCTGCTCCCAGAACTCAAGGCGAGGCTGCACCAGCACAGAGCAGAATGGGACAACCACCTCCCCATCCTGCAACTACGTTTAACATCCCCAATTCAACCCAAAAATGTGATGGTTGAGGCACAGCTGAAATTTTTTGCTGCATACATTTGCTTGAGACTAATAGCTCTAAACCAGTCTGAAACCAGGAACTCTGGCAAGCGGAATTACAAGCTCTAAGAGTACATGCAAGCTCTTCCCTGCACTAGGCTGGTTCATGGGAGGCCATGCCTTCTCCTTCCTCCACCAGGCATTAGACAGGAGAGTCATGCTGGGGGAAGCCTGGGGGAAGCCTGGTTCCCTGCTCAAATCCCTCCTGGCTGCACAGAGAGCACCCTGTGACTGATGGCTCATCAAAATGGCTCCAACCTCTGCGCAGGCAGGTGTGTGCTACACTAAACTGACCTCAGACTCCTCTTCCTCACCCTACATGAATGTAAAGATATTCCTGCTGTTCCAGCTCTGGAGCTGACAATGAAAAAAAAGATATTATAAAAGACAAAGCTGCAGCCACAACCTAACCCTTCAGAAATAGATATATAAACCACAAGGAGACAGGAAACGTAAGAAAACAAAATATACTTTATTAAAATTAAGCATGTTAGCACCTCAGTGTAACCTGGAGAAGTCAAACAGTCCAGCAGGTAACCAGTCCAGCAAGGCTGAATGGCTGAACATCCTGAAGTGCATCCTGATGGTAGAAAAAGTACCATGACTGTCAGGACATGCACGTTCTGAACAAGCTCAGATGCACAACCAGCCTCGTTTGCAAGGAGGGATGTTGTGCCTACTGTCTTGATGGGAGCATCTAGAGCTGCTGGACCAATCACATATGTTAGATCCCATGGTGGAGCAGGTATCTCCTACAAAAGAAACCAAAAACAAACCCAAAACAACAAGCCAAACCAACCAAACGAAAAAATCGCCGCTAACTCGACTCGCAGAAAAATCGGTACAGCACAGAGCTGGAGAGCTACATATCAGATTGGAGAATAAATTAAACTGAAGTAACAGCAAGGACTTAGTACATGGATAGACATGTAGCATCCTTACAGATGACCATCCAACTTGGCACACACGTTAATAAAAAATGACCCATGCATCACATAGCAGGCTGTGACCACCTGGAGCTGAACTGGCTTCAGGATCTACAGAGAAACCTCCGGCTACAAAACCCCACGGTGCCCTTTTGTTCAGTTGTATACAGTGTTGAAGCTGATGGTTGTAAAGCTACACTAGCCAGTGTTACAAAGATTACATAATTTCAAACTAAAGATACTTTTTACATTTAGAAAATACCTCTATAAAATTTAGTAAAAGTGACATCCCAATCTACTGAGCACAATGCACTCCGTTTCCAGAAGGATCTCACAGAGCCAGGGAACACCTGGGAATTCTTCCCTCCAAGGTGAGTATGGGCACACTGTGGTGAAGTGCCTTTTGCTCTCAACATCCATCGTCATTGCCCACTGCCACAGGGCCATGCTGGGGCACCAGACACTCCCCTTCTCCTCCTCCTCCTCCCAGCTGCTGAGGGATCTGTTCCACCAGCCAGGCTGGAAGTGCACAACCAAGCCAAACCCGTGGCTTCGCTACCCTCGCTCCACCCTTTCTAGCCAACGCTGATTTGGTTTCCTTTTGCAGAAAGTGAAGGGACTGATGCTGGCTAGAAACAGAAACTACACAACCATTCCACATAGATCTGTTACAATACTCTTAAATCTTGGTTTAGAACACACAAGCAGGTTTTAGTATGGTCTTGCCTAATGTACAGATTATTAGTCATGCCAACTAGTTTAGGATTAGACAGGAAAAGTTTGCAACCACTGCAGGTAAAGTCACTTCTGTTTCATCCTGGTTCTCAGAACGAAAGCCAAGGATTAAAATTCCAATGTGTTACAAAGCCTCCATTTCTTTAGAGGGAGTCTTAAGCCAATGAGATAAACTACAGCTGTTAAGTGCCACCGTGTTCTTTGTACCAGACTGCAATCCTTACTGGTGTCGAGACCATGGAGACATCTGTAACCAATACACACGCGCTGCAGAGAAAGCAGAAACTACACGGTACAAGAGCACTCTTTAATCTGGGGCTTCTGTCACGCTAGGAACAGCAGTCTTTTATGGCATCAGTAATTTACTGAAGAAACACATCACCCTGAGAGGGTTTCTAAAGCTTTCCTCCACTGAGCGAGGCTGAACGCCGCATCACCGACCATCCTGTGATGGGGACAGCGCCCGCGGCAGCCGGACACGCCTTCTCCAGGGTAGTGTTGCTGTAACCTCACTTGACACACAGCGAGTTTATTTGCTCAAAACTGATACCCTACGTCCACTTAGTGACGACTCGGGTCCCATCCACGCTGCGAGCAGCGCGTTCCGACACCGCACACAGCGGGTTTGATGGGCCCGGCCTGAGGCGACCCCGGGGACAACACCGGGGCATAACGGCGCTGATCCAGTCCACGGAGCTGATCCAGTCCGGGCAGGGGAATGCGAATGCCTTGCCCGGCTGGGGGCTGCTGTGGCGTGGGCCGAGCCGGGCACGGAGCGGCCGCGGTCCATCCCATCTCTGCTCTGCCCGGCACCGCACCGCGGGCGGCGGAGGCTCCGGGATGGAGAGCCCCGCGCCGGGCCGGGCACGGGCAGCCCTCAGAGGCCGTGGCGCTTGCGGGTGCCGGCGCTGGCGGCGTGGAGCAGCCGGTCCTTCTCGCGGATCTCCTCGCGGAGCTGGGCCTCGGCCAGGCGCAGGCGACGGATGCTGCCCTTCATCTCCTTCATCTTCACCTCCAGCAGCGCGATGATGTCGCGCTGCTCGTTCAGCTTCCTCAGCAGCTCCTCCGACGTGGTGCCCGACGACAGCGAGTACGAGTGATCGGGGGGGCCGCCCTCCGCCGGGCTCTCCTCCCCCGCCGCCGCCGCCGCCGGTACCGGCACCGGCAGCCGCACGGGGCTGGGCCCGATGGTGGCGGCGGCCCCGAGCTCCACCTGCACCGTCAGGTCGATGGGCTTCACGTCCTCGGCCGCGGGCGGCGGCGGCGGCGGCGGGGCGGGGGCGCCGGGCCCGCTGAGCCTTGCGCTCGTTGACGCCGCGCAGCGGGAAGATGGTGGGGACCCGCACCAGGTAGGACTTGCGGCCGCCCTGGAAGTGCTCGCTGCAGACGCGGTGGCCCGTGGTGGGCTGGAAGGTGCTGAAGCAGCCGCTGACGCCCGCCCGGGAGACGTTCTTGAGCCAGAGGCGCCGCAGCTCCTCGTCCTTGGGGAAGGTGTAGAAGTGCAGCGCCTTGTCGCGGTGCGAGTTGTTGTAGCAGCCCGGTACGCAGCAGGTGAAGCCCGGCATGGCCTCGCGGGGCGGGGGGACACCCGCGGCGAGCGGGGCGAGCGGCCCCGCCGAACTACAGCTCCCACAAGGCCCGCGCGGCCTCTCGCCGCCGCCGCCGCCGCCGCCCCGGAACTACGCGGACCACAATGCACCGCGCCGCCGGCGGAACTACCCGCCCCACACTGCGCCGCGGCCCCTCCCGGCGCTCGCGCGCGCGTCTCGCGAGAGGCGGCGGGACGCGGGAGGCGCAGCGGCCGTTAACGGGTCCGTCATGGCTGACGGGCGGTCCCGGGCTCGGCCCGGCCTCAGGCGCAGCGGCCGCCACAGCGCGAGGGCGGCGGCCCAGGTGCCCCGAGGGATCTGCAAGGGCGGGCGGGCGGGCGGGAGGGGAGGAAAAAAAGAAGGGAGGAAAGGAGAGTCGCTGTTGGGATCGACCATCCCGTGGGACCCGCCCGGTGCCGCCCGCCCGGTCGCTCTCGGTTTGAGACGGCAGCGAGGCCTCTGAAGCAGGAGCGGAGGCCGCTCCCTCACCCTTCTTCGCCTTTAATCGTGGAAAATGGACCGGAACCCCTGACTTGGGCTCTCGGCGGGTTTAGGTGGCGGCTGTGCTCTGAGGACTCCGTCCACGGGAGGGTTTTATCCTGGAACCCCCTGGATGATTCCCAGGGCTGAATTGTCTCCCGTCCACAGTGCAAGTGTCACCATTGTCAGAAAGCCAACACGCGCAGTTTCTCTTTAAAATTTGGAAAAAGTTTCCTACCAGCTTGCTTAGCTTGTTATTAGAACGTGGGTGGTGGATGCTTTTGCTGTTGGGGTCTTTAATAATGAAAATACTGTCACTGAATTGCTTGTCTCTTGATTTCTCTCTAGACTGGATTGAGTGTACAAAATAAGAGTAAATCTGTCAGCAGCACCTTGGCAAAGCAGAGACTGGCAGTGTTCCCTGACCTCAGAAATGGCACGCCACGGCTCATGCTCAAGAGAGTCATGCAGAACCGTAAGTGTCTTTTTTTCAGGAGAATTGAGAACAGAAAGACAATGTTTTTGTGAAGTTAAGGAAACAGAGGGAGTCCCTTGGTGGCCCATTATCCTTTCCCTGTTACACGAGACAGAAGTCAGATTGTTGCATGACTGATTTATTAACAGAGGAGTCACTGCAGGGCACCTGAATGCAGGATACAGCTGCCTGAGAGGCCAGGCCTTGCTCTGGTGAAATCATAGCTTTAAAGATCCTCTTCAAAACCCTCTTCACTTGGTCTTCTTATCCTGGGGACTGAGCACATTATCCTTTGGCTGTGGGATCAGGTGTGAGTTATTCTGCTGCAGTGCAGGGAACCCCTGTGCTGCCACCTGTCACCACTGGCTTTGTCACTGCCAGCCTTCCCAGGAGCAGAACCCAAACAGTTTACACCAGCTGTTTATTTTAACCTGCTAGTAAATGTTGTTTACAGCCTGTAGTGTAGATGTGACACCCTGCTGTATTGAACTGAGGAAAGGAAATGTTCTGGTTTGTTGGCAGAGCCCCAGGTTTCACCACTGGCACCTCAGATATCTAACCATGAAGACACACAAGAAGCTCATGCAGAAGTCCCATCTAAGAGGGCTTCCAGCACGTAAGTAGGGTTTTTTTTATAATTTACACTTTTATTACAATGCCAGGTAGAGCTGCAGTTTCTGTGGTAGAATTGGGGAGCAGGACTTCTCTTCTGCTTGTGTTTCAGTGATCAGAATTGCATCTTGTCAGGTGGGATTGTCAGAAATGCCTCTCCAGCTTGGTTTGTTTTGGTAGGGGGGAATTGCAGCTGCCAGATGTTGCTCCTGAGGACACATCTGTCACCGTGTTCCACATGAAAAAGAAGAGAAAAAAACTCAGCATTTCTGAGTTTGAGAGGGCAGCAGAGAGACGCCTTCCCCAGTACCAAGGTAAGGCTGCAGTCAGGAGTTACCTTGCTCAGGGCTGCATTCCTGTCAGCTGCTTCTCACCTGCTCAGCTCAGTTGGCAGGAGCTGCCCAGTTGGGCAGTTGTAAGTTTGGAATCCAGATTGCAACATCTCATGCAAAGGGGATAATGGAGAAAGTAAAAGCCCCCATCCTCTCAGATTTAAAATAAACCTTTTTTAGCCAAGTTCTAGGCTCTGCCATGACTATATATAATTTCTTGACTACTTTTGCAACTTGGTGTTCTTTGAGTTTTGGAGGTGTCTCCAGAGGAACCCTGCCTTCTTCTCAGTTCTAGAAACTTTAAAATGCATGCAGCTGCATACTTTCCATTGCAATGATACAAAATAATGATAAAGTTCTTTGTGAGCAGAACAGGTTTGAGTTCCAGTTTCATCTGTGCAGTAGATGTCTGTGTTTCTAAAACTCCACATGTGTTTGGGTTGGGTTGCTGGAGGGTGGTTGTGACCAAGGCCTAACATCTTGTTATCAATGTGGTAAAATTAAAATTTTTAAATCTGAGGGTATATGCATATTATATTTTCATTGAAATAAATGAAATATCTTTCTTACCCTTTCAGAAATTGCTCATTAGATTTCTAATATGCAATTCTGAAATGTAGACAAGAAATAGTGAAGTGACCCTGTTACCTAATTCTGTTTGTACCAAAGTATGATGTCTGAGGATTGTAGCATGGCTGGCTCTGAAAAGAGGGAGATCCATTGGGATGTTCCTGTAGCCTGTTGTGGAAAGGGTAATTTCTCAGCTAATGTGCCATCAACTTTTTCTAGCTCAGTCAACGTTGGACAGCACAACTATGGCTCGGTGAGTTTAACCTAAAGTGTCTTAACTTCTGTCTGCCCTGGCTGTGATCCCATCTGAAGGGGTGAGGAGCAGTGCAGCTGCCTGGGTTCATGTTCAGGAGCTGTGTTTGTGTTAGCAGTAACACAGGCATCTGCCCTCCTGCTGGTGGAATTTCAAGGTATTGCACCACACACCTTTTGATTCTCAGAAATTGTGGCTCTGCACTGTATGCCTGGGTTGGTCTAGCTTGCATTGCTACTGTTGCTCCTCTCTTTACTTGCTTGGATCATTCCTTTTTTCCTTTCCTTCTCATGATTCCAGCAGTAAAGCAGTACACATTATACCTTAGAATATTATGTAAATCAGTACATAGTATACCTTACAACATTATGTAAATCAGTACACAGTATACCTTAGAAAATTATATAAATCAGTACACAGTATACCTTAGAATATTATCCCTGCCTGTTCATAGTTTTATCACATCAGTTGCATCTGTGCAGCATTTTCTGGACTTTAAAACCTTTTAGTGAGTCTAAGAACTTACTTTCTGGTGTTGCCTTTGTACTTTGTGTACTTTGCAAATGACCCTGGCCAAAATCAGTCCAGCCCAAAATCACCTTTCTCACTGCAGCCCTTGTGGGGTGCCACACAAGATGTTTTTTGGGGCTGCATTCTGTACTTCTGTCTTTGAACCCTGCCTGGAGAGAGGGGCAGGAGGTCACTGAGCATGGTCAGTCTTCAGGGTAGAGAACTCCTGCAATGAGAAACATTTCCTTTGGGTGCTGCTATCAGCTTTAGGTGTTGCTATCAGCTCTCATCTTAAAACCAGTCACAGTGTGTTGGTAGCTGTACTTTGCTGAGAGTATTGATAGTAAGTAGATTCTTAAAGTTATTGGGAAGTCCTCCTACCACCCCATTGTCATCTAATGTATATCTTTACTCTGAAACATTTTTTTTCCTTTTTATTTTTTGTTATTTTAAGATGTTTTATATTTCTGACCCTTTTGTCAGCTGCAGTGTTGCAGTGTCTCAGAGAGGCTTTAAAACAGTCTGCTTCCTGATCTCTGTGCTACATGTCCTGATGTTGGGTGGTAATATGAAAATAAACAATTCATTTAAAGACTGACTCATAATCTTCAAGTGTTTTTTGGGGAAATTTCTCCTAGTTGTGCAAAATGTGTCGCTGTTAGTGCCATCATGTCTGCATTCTGCAGTGTGTGCTGTGACAGTTTCCCCCCTCTCTTTCCAGATCCCTTTGCATGTCTGTGGGTTCCTTGCTGGCCCCAGACACCGTTGAGAAGAGGGGTTTGCACCGGAGGCCCAAAATCCGCAGGGCTGTGGACATGCAAGCGTTTGAAGGCAGAGTGGAGCAGAACATGCTGAAGAGCACAGGTTTCTTAGTGCTGTTATTTCTCTTTTGGGAGGCAGGGCCTTATGTTAAAGGGGCTTTTAGAAGCATTTACTGAAGCGTGGTCTGTATTTTAGAATTTAATATTTACTAACACCTTCACAGAAATAGAGTGGGATTTGGGAGGCAAGATTAGAATGAGGTTCTGCCTCGGCAGTTCCTTTGATTCTATGCTCTTAAATATGTACTTTGCATGGTTTGGTCATTTAAACCACAGGAATTGTTTGGGATTCTATGCTCTTAAATATGTACTTTGCATGGTTTGGTCATTTAAACCAAGGAATTGTTTGGGATCATCTTCATCTGTGGGTGCTGAGGTCTCTATTGGTAGGGAGAGTTGTGGGCACAGAAGTGGGGTCATACTGTGTCAGTGTTTGATCTGTTGAGGAGTAAAATTTGGTTGAATGACTTAAATAGTGAATTACACAAATCCTAGTAGTATAGTGTGTCCCTGTGACCTTGAACAGTTTTTCACACAAAATTTGTTTTGAAACTTTCTCAACAGGACAGGACGATCTTGTGGACTCACAATCTGCATCTGGGATTCGAACAAGCATCCTGACAAGTGATGCAGAAATGATGATGAATAGCACAGAGCTCTTTGTTCAGCCCCAGCTGGATGAAGAGAGCCAAAATAAATTATCTGCTCTTGAATCCCAGCTGTCAGATTCAAAAGCTTCAGCACAGAGGAGCCCGATTTCTGATGCAGATCAAGAGGAAGCAAGGCTGGAGGGCCTAGTACCCAGTGTGAGCACAAACCAGGGGAAGACCCAAAGATACTCCAAGAGCTCAAGCCTTGATGATGAGCATGTTGGCAGAATGACCCATGTATCTCCAGAAAGCCCTGCAAAACAGGAAGAAGAAAAGCAAGACCATTCCCAGCAGAGTAACCCAGCGGCACAGATTTCTTGTACTGAAGAAGAGGTGGTTTGCAGTGAGTACTGTGGGTTAAGGCTTAGCAGGTGTTATCTGAACTCACAGAGTGGTTGAGGTAGAAAGGGATCTCAAGGTTATTTTCTCCTGCCCCTCTGCTCTGGCAGGGCCACATAGAGCAGGTTGCCCAGGACTAAGTGGCTCTCACGAGTCTCCAAGGGTAATGACTGCAAACTGTCTTCCTTATGTTCAGATGGAGCCTCCCATGTTCCAGTCTGTGCCAGTTGCCTTTCCTCTTGGCACTGGGCATCACTGGGAAGAGTCTGGCTCTGTCTGCCTTACACCCTGCCTTCAGGCACTTGTATATATTGGCAAGATCTGCCCTAACCTTCTCTTCTCTAGGCTGAACAGTCCCAGCTCTCTCAGCCTTTCCTTCTAGGAGAGATGTTTCAGTCCCTTAACTGTCCTGGTGGGTGTTTGCTGGACTCTCCACTGTGTCCATCTCTCCTTGGTACTGGGACCCCAGAAGTGGGCACTCTAAATTGGTCACAAAAAATAAGGAGACAATATGTAGGACATGTAGACAGACTTGGAAGGAATCTCTGGAAGTTTCTAGTCCAGACCTTCACCGTGGTATGGTCACTTACTTGTCAGAGCCAACCTCTCCATTGTCTCCAGGCCTTAAAAATATTTGGACAGAGGCAGCTGCCTCCCTGCTCACTCTGTACCAATGCTTTGCAATTCCTGTTGCTTGCCAGTTTTCCCCTGGTAACTCTCCTTGGCATTCATTTCCCTGGCCTTGTCCTGGTTGTGTAAATGGGAGCAGGTTTTCTTTATACTTTCTGGACCAGGCAAAAGTTGTTTTGAAAGGACAAGGGAAGAAATTAACAGAAAAAGGTTAGTTGCTCAGAGCAGCTCCAATGGCAGGCATTTTTAGGACAAAGGGATAGGTAATGCAAGTAGTGGAGGATGTGGAATAGGGGACTGATCCAGTGAGGGGAAGAGGAGGGGGAGTGAGCTGATCTTTAAGATGCTGGAGTTAATAAGGCATTAGTGTCAGATGTTAATGGTGACATAGTTTGCTCTACCACAGGAGGCTGCTGGTGGTGTTGCTCCTCAGTGTCAGCTGAAAAACAGTTGCAAAGATTTTTCCAACTGGTTCCTAAAGTTCGATGCCAACTCCCTAAACTTCTTGAAGTACACACAAATGTTTATTGTGTGTCTTCTTCTCCCTCCTTTGTTGGTTTTTTATTTGCCAGGAAAGCTAAAAGAAAATTTAAAAAGCTACCAGGAGACACATTAATGATCTGTTCTAGGTGTTTATAGATGGAGCTCCTCTCTGCCCTCCAAAAGTTCAAGTACATATTTGGGATCCCCAGTCACTCTAAATGTTTCCAGAATGTATTTGAGACAAGTTGTGTCCCATATAATTGAAGACCTAGAAGTAAGTGATACAGAAGAAGAGATGATTAATACAGAGAATGGAGTGGAACAGGAAAAGATTTTCCCTGAGGGTAAGATGTACTTTCATTGTAGAAAGGGAATGGAGTACTGTCTGATTTAAACAGAGTTTTTCAGGTGACTTGTAAAATAAGATTTATTTTACTCAGAGTAAAATAAGACTTAATTATACAGTAGATGCTGGAAATAATTTAATTCAAGACATACCAGAAATACTTGGACATTTCCAGACAAGCCTTTCTAAAAGTGGGCTGTGACTGGAAGTGGAATAAAGGTTCATATGTTTTGGCAGATCTGTACTACTGCTCAGCTTCCCATAGGAAAGATGAAGAGCTCTCATCTGGCTAATCTAAGCTGGTTAATATTTCACTGCACTTTAGGCCCTGTGTTGATGTAGGCAGCCCAATATTCTGGTTAGTGAAATTGATATAACTGATTTTTGCACTACCTTTGCCCAGATTTCCTTGTGCCCTTCCCTTGGGCTTGGGGGTCCCAAGGCCTTGCCACACTTGTACTTTTCAGTGTGAAAACTCCCAGTTGCTGGGGAGGATGGTGAAAGTGCCGTTTGACAGATTTTGGTTCTGGACTCAGCCAAGATTTCCAAACCCTTCAGTGAATGACAGCATTGTCATGTGTGTCACGATGTCAGAGTGCCCAATTTTCACAAAGTAATTACCTGTGTGTGTTTCTGCTTAACTGAGCTACATAGTAACAGATATGTGGACTATATATGTAGTATAAAGGAAAAATGAATACTTAAGTAGTCAGTAGGTCAAGTTTTTAAACACAAGCAAGTCATGTGTCTGTGTATTTCTCATCCTGCATGCCAGAGGCTTGTCCTGGATGCTTAAAACCACTCTAGGCTCTCTTCTCTCTACAATGGAATATATCTCTTACAAAATTGTTTATTCAGAAAAATGGAGGAAATGAGGAGGAGAATCTGAGCACAAACTCCAGGTATTGTTAGATTTAAAGGAAAGTAAATTGGTCTTTTACACAATCACCTAAATTTAAAATGGCCCTAGAGATGGCAGATCTGGAGGAGCTCTGCTTACTGTAAGTAAAATTCCTTCACTGGGATCTGATGGGTCTCTAATTAGGTGGCTGTGGAGCAAACACAGAAAAAGTTGGGCATTTCTCAGCTCTGAAGGGAACTGCTTTTCTTTTTTACATCTTATGGCTGAGTTTATTTATCACAAATAAATTCCAGTGGTGGTTGAACTGTGTGCTGGTGGTTGGCTGGAGTTTTTTGTAGGTGAGATGTATGATGGAATTTATTATTTTAGCTGCAGAACGTGGTGCAAGTGCTCGATATTCTGAACATTTGGAGAAGAAACTGGCTGAAAAAGCAGAATTGCAGATAACTGCAGCACAGGACAGCAGAGGTGAAGCAGAAAGGGCTCCTTCAGCAGGGGAGGAACTGGAAGAAGGCAGCACTGGAGCCCAGGGCTCTCCCAGAGCTGGTGAGGACACCTCTAATGCTGGCAGCTCTCTGTAGTGCCAGGATGCTCTCATGCTGCACGACTGGCATCAGTGCTGAGACAGAGACTTAACTTCCTTTGTTTTCTGGAATCTGGGCTAATTACTGGGGAAATATCGAACTGATTTTGTCATTTTAAGCAGGAATGCATTTTATTTAAAGGGAAAGTGCATTTTATTTAAAGGGAAACCAAAACTGTCCTGGCAGTAATGTTAGAAATGTATAGTTACAGCAGGTATCTTCTATTAAAATCTACTAGTGGAAGTTTCAGAATCAGGCAAAGATATTTGTTTCAGTGCTTTATTTTTTCTGTTTTGGAAATCTAGAACGTGAGATTACCAGAGGCATTGGAGCTGGAAGTCTGGGCAGGCACTCTCGTGCCTCTTCCTCATTTGAAAAACCTGAAATGACTCAATTAAATGAAACTGAGGAACAAGGAGATGAACTACAGGACGAGGCTATGATGCTAAATTTCGATAATTCAGTGGAAGAGGATGCTGCTGAGGATGAAGCTGAACACCCTCCAAGTGAAGGTAAGGAATCTGCTCAGCATTTCTGTTAACATTGTTTTCTTTCCTGCTCTCACTTGTTAAGAAGTGAAGAAGTTCAAGAGTGAAGTTAAAGACAATGCAGATTAGACTTGGAGGAAACTGCTATGGGTTCATAGCAGAGAACAGGTGAGATGCTGATAACAGGAGCCTTGCCTGGAGGGAGTTATGAAAATCTGCAGACAGGGAGAAATTTATAGTCTGGCCCTTGTAATGTGACTGTAGCTCAGCTTGTCCCTTTGTTCAGGAGAATTTGCCAGTGGCTTAGCAAGATGACAGAGGTAACTTCTAGACTTTGGAGTTCTCTCTGGTTAAAAAGGATGCAGCTTTGTGGCAACCTAAATTAACCCAGCCATCAGCCACTGCAGCCTGCTCCTGAGTGTGTGTCTCTGCAGCCTGGCCAGCCAGCTGGGCCAGCACAGGGGCCCAAGGGAAGCCACCAGCCTGTGTGACAGGAGCTGTGGGGGTGGCACTGCAGCAGCCAGCAGCTGTGCTGGCTCGGGGTGCTGTGGGGCACAGCCAGAGCACAGGCATGTGGGGAGCTGGCTGGGTTTCTGTCTGCTGGCAGCACTGCCTGCTCCAGGAGTTCTGGAAAGAGACTTCAGCTCCTCCAGTACTTTTTTCCCAGAGGTTTCCATGAAGACTCCTGCGTTTGTCCATGCTCCAGCCAAAAACCTGCTGTCAACGCCACGTGTTGCAAAACCTGCTGCTCCCAGGTAAGCCTAAGCCGTGTCCAGCCTGGCACAGGTGGGGCTGGGGGCAGAGCAGAGCCTGGCTTTGCCAGCTGCTCTGGCAGCTGCCACAGGGAGTGAGCAGTGCTGAAGTCTGTGAGTGAATGTCAGTGCTCTTCCAGAGCAGGTCTGATGCCTTCAGGCTTTCTAATTAATGTTCTTGTAATATTTTCTTGTGCTAAAGGCCAAAACTTTTCCTAGGAGTTTTTCAAGTGGTAAGCCACTCTGGAGCCATAGATTCCAGGGAGGGATGCAGAGGCCCTTGCAGAAGAGGGGGAATTACAGATGGCAGTACACTGATCACATGGAATGACATACTTGTATTGACTGCAGAAGCCTGAAGCTGTGTGCAGTTGCCATGTGCTGACTAAAATGAAGCTCTCGTAGAGGCAGAAGGTGAACCTGTCCTCTGCATTAATCCAAATTAGTTAACACTTGCACCCTCTTGTCTGGAAATTTAGCTTCATCAGAACCACTAGCAGTGTTTCCTAGGGAGCAGGAGGAATTTTCTAGCCCATGACTTCAGAGCTTTGTCTATTAAAGCAATAAGCAAGAAGACAAAATTCTTTTGCCCATGTATGGGTGAACTAGAGAGAGTCAAGTGATCCACACACCCTCTCTGAGGTTTTGTATGTGTTAGCCTGAGGTTCTAGTGCTTTTCTGTTGTTTTCCATTTACATTCTGAGTGAGTCCATGGTTTCACTTAACTCTTCCATGTTACAATTTTTCGTATTTTAGAATGGCAGAGAATTGTAATTTCCTTTGGGACTTACAGTCTTGTTTAATGGGGGGGGTGGGAAACCCTACAGCCCACAAAAAAGCCCCCACAGAAGTTCTTAATAGTGTAGAAGGATTCCCTGCAGAGCAGCCTCCCCTGTCCACAGATGCAGAGGTGACCTATGGTGCTTCAAATGTTGTGCACTGCTGTACAGGGAATACTGCAGGGATGCAGTGGCAACTGCAGTCATGTGTTGGAGAGAACTCCAGTTTGCTGATAGTGTGTTACATGGGAACTCTGGAATCAAGGCAACTTGAGCCTGGATTGCTTCTCTCAAGGCCATGATGCCACATGAACTGTTTGCAAACTGCCCATGAGAGTTTTGAAGAATTGGGAGGGAGAAAAAATGAAGAGCTCAAGGTAGTTGTTATCCCTTCCAGTTCAGCTTAGGGTTTCTCCAAACTCAGCCTGCTGTTCTCTGCCTCTCCCTTGTTCATTCAATGTGTGAATTTTCAATTTTCCTCAAAGGTCTCCCCTGCAGCTGCTGCAGCCTAAGAAAGTTTCTAAGAGATTGGGAACATCCAAGAAGAAACCACGTGATCCTCAAGTACCAAGGAGTTTGATAAAGAAGATATTCAGACATTTTGCTAAAATGCCAGTAACCAGAGATGCATTCCAAATTGTTGAAAAATGGTACGTAGCAGCAAACTGCTCTTTCCATTATTTTTACTGTTGAGGTTTTTTTCTTTCTTTTCTCCCCTGAAGTAATAAACCTGTTGGGAGTGCTGCTGACAAGCTGACAGCCCTCTCTCTTCAGCTGGAAAGAGTCTTGGGAGGCCTGATACAAATGGGCAGAAAGGTGCCAAGTGTTGTGTGGGTATCTGATCAGTGCTGCCTTTCAGGAGCATCTGGGTTTTGTCCCAACAAATTGTAGCAGTCAGATTGTCTTTATCAATTTCCATGAGCAGGATGGCTCTGGACAAAGGCCATCGTGCTGGGCACAGTGAAGGTGTGCAATGTTCCATTGGAATGCTGGTTTCTCAGCTCTTTGCACCCTTAGACCTTGTTGTCTTCCTGAGTAAAGTCTGAACACTGTCACTGCAGCAGCCAATATCTGACCCTCAGTGCTGATTTCTCTGTCACTGGTGTCAGCCCCTGTTCCTGCAGGCGTGGGAGGTGTGGGAAAGGTGCTGGTTGTGCAGCTGTTTCACAGCTGTCTTGGCAGTGAAATTCCAGGGAGCCTGGGCTGAGAAGCCAAGCTTTGTTTGTGGGCTGAGAGTTTCTTCTCCCCCAGCTTCCCTGGCAGGCTGTGACCTGCACAAGGAGCAGCTCTGGTGCAGCTTGCCCTGCAGAAGGGGGTGAGTAGCTGGTGTTCACACACTCCACAGTCTGGTTTGATTTCCCCCCTCAGCTGTGAGAGATACTTCAAGCAGCTGAGCAATGATCTGGAAGCTTACACCCTCCATGCAGGGAGGAAGACAGTGGAGGCAGCTGACCTGGAAGTCCTGATGAGAAGGTAATGGAAGGGTTTTTACAAATCTGCAGTAGTGTTTGGTGGTGCTTTGATAGCCCAGTAACGCCTGGTTGTTGCCAGAGTGTGCACCAGCAGTGTTTGTATAGTAAGTGTGGGATCTGGGATTTACTGTGTGAGGCCACTTCTGTCCCAGGAGGCATCTCTGGATTTGGGTTACACCACTTGGTGGTGGTGGAGAGGCAAGAGGAAGTAGTGAGGGGTTGTGAGTGTAAGGAGTCACTTGAGGAACCAAGAGGAGAGGGATTTGTGTAAGGGTGTAGCAGTAATGTCTGGGGAGTGTGTAGAAGTGGAGAAATGCTAAGAGGGAGTCTGGGCTGCACTGTTTGCATCCCTGGGTGAGCTCTTTGCTAAAATCATCTGTGACTGACACTCTGAGCATTTTCACATGTCCTGCTGTCTGTTTTGGTGACTTGCTCTTCCAAACAAAATACAGCTCTTCCTGTTGCTGCACAAGCTGATGCTGGGGATCCAAACTGACAGTTCCTCTCGAGAGCAGCAGAAAGAGCCCCCAGCCCAGGAGGGCAGGGCTGGCCTCTCCTAACAGCAACATTCCTGGACAGCAGCCTGGAAGGGCTGTTCTCAGAGCTGCCTCACTGGTGTTCTGTCCTCTGGATGTTCACAGCTGCCCCATCTCCTGCCTGGATTTACTTTGTTCTGTGACCAAAACACAAGGGCTTTATTCTTGGCTTGGAAGCCCTCTGTGAGGCCTAAAGCAATCCACCACTTTTCATTTAAATTTATTACTCTGGGTGGTTGTTCTTAATCTCCGTTGCAAGAGTTTCAAATGTGATGTTAAAGTCACCTGGGGGATAGCACAGGGCACAGCTGATGACACTGGCTTTGCATGGGCCTCTGTAGGTGAGCTGGTGCTGCTGCTTAAAAAGAATAATCTGTTGCTGTCCTGATCCAGAGATTTTGTTTTCCCACTTGACAGGTGTGTGCTGAGGTTGGTATGAACAGGCCAGAAGGCATGATGGGTTACTTGTCCTGCTTTGGGAGTTCCATGTACTTGTTGTTTCACCTTGTTCTAGATGTCTTTATGCCTTTTTACTGCCTCATAAAGAGATCAGGAATTGTTGCTGGCTCACGCATAAGAACAGCATCTCTGTTCCTTCCACATGGGAAGTGTGAATAAATGTTGCACTTTCTTTCTACAAAACTGGGAGATGATGATTTTTTTCAGGCCAGTCAGCTAAATGGTGTACAGGAAAACTCCATGGCCTACACACTTAGCAAATGCCAACCACCTCTGAGTTGTGACTGTAAAAAAAATCTGGGTACTGAGTTATTTCCTTCTGTCACATCATTCTGTGCACGTCTTCAAAGAGTAGAATTTATCCCACGGTAGGTGGATTGTGAATTTAAAAAGCAATGAGCCTCTGCTTTGGTCCTGATCAATATAGATGAATATCCCCATGGTAAACAGTGGGAAGCTGCTCTGCAGGAACCCTCTGGGTCTCTCTGCTCTGCTGTGTGGGCAGTCCTGGCACTGCAGCATGCACAGGAGCTCAGAAGCTGCCTGCAAACACGAGTCTGGAGCTGTTTGTCACAAGCAGTCAGAGCATTTCACCTCCTGAATGCAAAAACATCACTGCAAGAAAACTGTACTCTGAAATTGAGTGGAAGCACATTTCACTAACAACTTTGTGTGTTCCCTGCTCTCTCTCTGGCCAAAGGCAGGGGCTGGTGACAGACAAGATGCCGCTGACGGTGCTGATAGAGCGTTACCTCCCCATGGAGTACCGCAGGCTCCTGATTCCCGTGGCAGTGAGTGGAAATAAAGTGATCCCCTGCAAGTGAAGCTGCAGGGCTGGCCCCAGGGGGTGGGATGGTTGGTTGTTGCATGTCACTGCTCCAGGTGATGCTTTTGTTACAGGTAATTTGACTATCTGTGTTTTTATATGTTACCTTTGAATACTCGTACAGTTCTGATAAATAAAATGTTACATGTATCTTTTTGTGATGCCAGTGCTGCTTATGCCAGTGAGCTTAGAGGCTCCTCCTGCATTGTGGTGTTGAAATTGTTCCTGGCAGGCGTTTGGCTGTGTGAGTGCTCTTCATGGCAGCCATGGTGCCCCTTTGTTTTGCTCTGGTGTTCCTGTACAGGCAGCTGCTGCATGGAGGAGCTGGTCCGTGCTGTGCTCCTCACACAGGGAAACAAATCAAAACTGTTGTGTGTGGTTGTGCTGCTTCCAGGGAGCCTAAACTACACTAGGAATGAGATCTGACACAGCAAAGGATGCCAGGGAATGTGACTGTAGAATAGTTCAGAAGCTGGGAAAGAATAATGCCTGTCACATGTGCCAGTTTCAGAGGGATGGAGATGGATGTTGGACTTTCTCTTCAGTTCCTTCTGGGCAGCCACTGTGGCACGAGTTGTTTCTCCCCACCTGAGGCTGTCCTAAGTCCTGCTGCAAGTATGGATCCTCCTCCCCTCTGGGTTGTGCTGTGTGTGCACTACAGCCTCCTCAAACCACAGCTCATGGGCACTCCTGGAAATCCAGGCCAGCTCTTGGCAGCAGGAGCTGGAATTAAACAGGTTCTGAGCAGCACTGAAGGACACAATGGCCAGTACAGTTAAAACCTCTTCAGCAGGCAATGCCAATCCAAGTGGCAGGCGTTTTTCAAGGGTTTTTTTCAAAACATAATTCCATTAATACAACAAAGAGCATTTTTTGCTGATGCAGTGTGACCGAAGGGTTGGAAAGAGAAGGGTCCTTTGAGAAGCTCTGCTGGGAGCAGTGTCTGATGTCCTGCATGGATTCCCTTCTCCCCTGTGTGTCAGAGTTCACTTTCTTCTCAGCAGGAGGTGCAGCTTCCCTGGGGGAGCAGTGGGAGGGGGCAGTGCTTTGCACCTGCTGCCTGTCAGCTGTGGGGCTGGCACTGCCTTCGGAGTTCATGGAATCCTTCAACTCACTGCAGCCTTCTCCTGAGACTGGGTGCATTCCAAACAGTACAGGCCTGTTTGGCAGGCTGGAGCCTCAGAGCTTGTAACTTTTCTATCAAACTGGCTTGTACAGATATCAAAATATATATATTATATATTATAATATATATGTAATATATGATATTATTATATATATTATATTTTGTATAATATATAATATACAGATATCAAAAATATATATTATATTTTATATATTATATATGTTACATATTATATATAATAGATATTCTAAAGTATAGAATATATTTTATATATGATATAATTAATTCTATAACAATATATAATTATTCATAGGTATTCATATATTAATGTTATATATTATACACTATATACAATTTATATATTATATGAAATACATATATAGATATATCAACCCTAAATATATAATTACATAAATATTCTCTCAAGGAAAGGAAGATCATTCTGTCAAGAGCAGCTTGTGTCAGACCTGTGAGCTCACTTGCAGATAAGAGAATGCAGCTCTGCAGTTGCTCCCACAGTCATGGCTTTGGAATGATGACAAGGGCCTGTTATTGCTGTGGAGACATGGAAAAAGAATGGAAACATGGAATTATGTGTGTCATACCCAGAGGAATGAACTCGTACTCCAAGTCTGCCCAAGGCTCTTGTTTTCTTCCTGCTGGCCGCGGCTTCACAGCAGTAGTTCAGGTTTTTGTAGTGTACTCTCAAGGCACAATTGTATTTAAAACAAGCCGTACACAGACTGCGTGGCCGTGTGGATGCAGCCGCGGAGCGCGGGGGCTCGGCGGGTGCCCGGCCCCGGCCCGCTCCGCCATGGCGCGCGCTCCGTTTACCCGTCCCCATGGCAACGGCCACGCCCGCAGGACCCCCTCGCGCGCCGCCATAGCTGCCCACGCAGCGCCTGACGCGCGGGCGCCGCGCGGCGGCCGAAACCGGCCCGTGAGCGGAGGCGGCCGGCGGGCGCCTGCAAGCGCTGGGCGGCCCTTGGGCTCCGCGCTGTCGCGGAGCACGCTGGGAGTGGGAGTCTCGGCCCCGACGGCACTGAGGGGAGCAGAGCGGAACGGGGACACGGTTCCCACCGTGCAGCGCGCCGAAGGGGGGACGGGGCTTTGCGTGCTCCGCCTCTCGGGAGTTGTAGTCTCGGCGAGAGACAGTGACGGACGGGCAGGAGTGACGCGGACTGCGCTTCCCGTCGGGCGGCGCGGCCCCATTGTGGGCACGCTCGCAGCCCATTGGCTGCCGGCCGCGGCCGGGCCTCGCTCCCCGCCCGCTGACACAAAGCGGGTCCAAGATGGCGGAGGCGGGCGCGGGGAGCCCGCACGGCGGGGACGCGGCACCGCCGGGGCCGCCCGAGGAGCAGGAGCTGAGCCGGCGCCTCCGCCGCCTCTACCCCGCCGTCAACCAGGACGAGACGCCGCTGCCGCGCTCCTGGAGCCCCAAGGACAAGTACAACTACATCGGCCTCTCGCAAGGCAACCTGCGCGTCCACTACAAAGGTGCCGGGCTGGGGCGGCGGCGCCGGGCTCGGCTCGGCCCGGAGCGGGACGGCCCCGGCGTGGCGCTCGGCCCGGCCGCTCCGCGGGGCCGCGGGGCGCGGGCTGAGCCGGCAGCGGGTCCGGCGGCCCCGGGGCAGGGGCGCCGTGAGCGGCGCGGGGACGGGCGGCGCTGCGCTCCGGGCTCCTGCTCGGGCCGGGCTGCCCGCGCTCGGCAGCGGAGCCGGGGGCTCTCCCGGGCCGAGTGTGTGGCCTTATATAACGCTGTGCTGTGTGCTCGCCCGGGCCCGGTGCGGGCAGACCGTGTGTTTACTCTGTCGTCCCGCTTAAAACCCAGCCGGGGCTCGGGTGGCCCCGACACGCTGCGTAACCGGGGCTGTGGCTGCTCGGGTTGACACCAAAGAGCTGCTCACGGACTTCGGTGCGATGTTTTCCTTGCTCGCTGTTGGAGCTGTTCTCCCTACCCACCCAGCGGAGAAGTGATTATTCCTTTTCCAGCCTGGCTAGTAAACACTGATGTCATTCCCTTCTTGTGTAATCATTTTTGTCTTCTGTCTGTGTACATTGGTCTTCAAATTATGCCTGTGGGGAGGGGGAGAGGTGGTGCTGAGAGTCTTTCTCAAAAACTTCATAGTGAAAACAAAGGGAAAACTGAAAAGCTTGTGCTGTAGGAATTGTTCTTGGTGGCAGTGCAGAGTTGTTGTATATGCTGGTTTTCTGGAACGTGTGCTTTAAATGGCTGGCTCCGTGTAGAAACAGATCCCTGCTGGCTTCAGATAGCGAGGCTTTAGATCAGGATATGTGAGAGGCCAGATCCCCTCAGTACTCACATTTCTGTTCTTTCTTAGGTCACGGTAAAAATCACAAAGATGCTGCCTCGGTCAGGGCCACTCACCCCATCCCTGCAGCCTGTGGCATTTATTACTTTGAAGTGAAGATCGTCAGTAAAGGTAGAGATGGGTAAGTGCCTCGTTGCAGCTCAGTGCCTGGGGATGTGTGTCTGGCAGCTCTGCTGGACTCTGGCCTCCTTTCCGGAAGGGTTCCAGGTCCCGTGGCTGCTGGGTGCAGCAGGCAGGCTCAGCATGGGCAGGTTTTGTCTCCTGCTGAATGGGTGTCAATGAGGTGGAATGCCCTGGAAGCAGAGGCACTGGCACAGCTGTGTCCTGAGCTCTTGGAGATGGGCACTTCTGAAAACATTCAGTAAACTGGGGGTCTCTGGTGCAATATGAATTAAGATAGGTTTCCTTCTTGCTGGCAAGGTCTGGTCACTCTGGTTTCTAGAACTGTGATGTCTCAGAAGTGAAATGAAGCAGAAGGGAGGAGCCTTGAGCTTAATTTTGGACTGCTGCAGTGGTGTTGATGTGGTGAAGAGTACTGGAGCACTGGGGAAAGCAGTAAAGGGGCATTGCTAACAAGGTCTGGAGTACTCTTGTTAACGTGGATTTAATTTTTACTCATTATGAAGGTGTCAGTCTGCTCTGTGTGGATGGCCCTGGCATTGCTTATTGTTAAGGGATGAATATGGCAGGGATGTTATCTGGAAGGGAAAGCCACACAGGAGGAGGGATTGGGTGTAATTAATTAATCCAGTCCTTCAGGTGTGACATTTGAACTCTGACCAGTTTAAGGGTTGTGGGGAAGGCAGCAGATGTTCCTACTGAAAACCAAAGAAAAGTGACAGCTTGTTACAGTTGAATTTTTTTGCTGTCATTGTTGAACTGAGAAGTGGCCTACTTGTAAAGGGGCTTGGAAGGATCTCGGTTTGTGCTGCATTTGGGCCCTTGATAATTACTAGGTTATCTGCAAAGGTGGATGTTGGGCTGAATTCCTCATAAATGCAGGCAGAAGACCATCCTTATTCCTTCATTTCACTGGCCTGGCTATTAACTGCTTGTCTGTTTTGAAACACTGCCCTTGATTAGTTTATGTAACTGCTAAAACTGAAATAATTCGCAGTGAGCTTCAAGACAATTTTCCAAAGAAATCATATTAGAAAAGGTCACTGAACAGCACTTAATCTTTACTGCAGTCTGGATCAAGCTTAAAGGGAGATAATGGAATTTTCTGCTTGTCTCCCAAGATCAGAGTTTTCTGTATTAATGATTTGTTGTTTTTATTGTATTCTGTAATTACAGTGACTTTCCAGGAATAATTAATTCCAAACAGACAGAGCCATGTGTGTTAGCACAACAACCTGAACAGGAGCTGCTGGTAGCTCTGATCTGAGGTCAGGCAGTGG